ACTTACAAAAAGCACGCCATTTTATGTTAATTACCAACGACAAAAGATCACTTGCGGGTCACAGGACGCGGTCACTGACCTCTACCGGATGCCATCAATACGTAACACACAACGTAAGAAATGGACATATAAATAAACTCAATGCATATGCATGTATAAAAACCAAGATGTAAGATGAATCAAAAACACTTTTCTAGTATCTTTGGGTAAATGTACGATTCCTCGATTGTGGCTCACCAAACGTAGTCAGAGATGAATGAGCCCGTCATTTTAACGCCATAAGTAGTGTGAAATTAAGTGCGAAGCGATTCGATACGGCATTCTAAATTAAAACCATTTCGATACGGCATTCTAAACTAAAACCATTTCGATACGGCATTCTAAACTAAAACCATTTCGATACGGCATTCTAAACTAAAACCATTTCGATACGGCATTCTAAACAACCTCGTCCCGTCAGTGCCGTCACTGGTTAACCCCGTCACGTATACAGGGGTCCATTTGTCTCGGGGTCCAGTTGTCTGGGGTCCAGTTGTCTCGGGGTCCAGTTGTCTGGGGTCCAGTTGTCTTGGGGTCCAGTTGTCCAGTTACCTTCAACTTTACACCCGAAGTTCAACATCCTAACATGAATTCAAGAAGACGTCTAAATGCTAATGAAGCATTCAACAACATTATGGAAGAAAACGCTTCATCAAGTTTTGCCGAATCTGATTTCAATAGTAGTACTCCGTTTTACCCGGCTAGTTGAGTTCAGCCATCATGGTTCAGTCTAAGGAGCCTCATGCTCAACATCCACTCTATACCTAGATGCACAGACAACCCAGCCACCAAGATGGTCAACGCCAAGACAGCCACCCTCATCATCCACTTTATTCGACCTAAATGCACAGACAACCCAGCCACCAAGATGGTCAACGCCAAGACAGCCACTTCAACAACAGAATTCAAATACTGTGGGGTATGCACAAGATAGTCAGACTGCAGGTAATTGTTCAGTTTTATATGCGAGTTAATTTCGATCAATCGCATTTGCACCTTTCTAGTTATTTGTGGCGCCGATCCTGGATCTAAGATTAAATATATAACGTTTAATTTTTCCTACAGTGTTGGTGTATTTATCTGATATATTTGCTATGTTAGTAGCCTTTCCTATATTTCGTTTATGTATGGGCATAGACACTCAAAGCATTGTTTTGTCAGCATATCCTGTGTACCATATGTTGTGGATCCTGATTAAAAGTCAAGTACACAATAGTTTCAAACAATAGGCTTCTTCACAGGATGTACTCTCTCTTTTGTTTAGAACTTGAACACACATTAACAAATTTGCATATATGCTTCTTTACAGACTTTCAAGTTATATATGAGAATTTTAATTCTCTCCAGGAAACTTGCAGCAACATGTCATCACAGCAAGAAGATTTGAAAGACTGCATATTGTCTAGATTAAAAAATCTGGAAAAAAAAGTTGAAGATTCTATACTACAACAACGGCAGCAACGGCAACAACAATGTCAGACACAGTCAACAAAAAAACAAAAAATTAGAACACCATCAGAGCTTTCGGTAAGTGTTGCTTAAACATTTACACATGCTACAAACCAATCCGATGCAGTATTGAATTATTTTGCAAATATGTGTAGTTTAATGAAAGACGTGGGGAGAATTGGGGTTTGTGAAACAAATTTAGAAATTAAAATGAATATTTATTTAAGCTCTGCATGACACTGATTTGTCAATTTCATTTACCTTTAAGATTTAGTATAACCATAGACCCTTTTTGAGGGTCTATGGTATAACCAACTGCTGTAATTGATCTTGTTTTCTGTGTTTTTTTTTATAGATGAGAATCAAGCAATTATGTGCACATAATCAGAGTTTGGCATTTGATGCTATTGCTGGGTGAGTTCACAAACATAATATTTTAGTCTGTAACATGCCATACATATAAACACAAACTGAAAAGAAACAGTTGTGAACCACTGTGTGTGATTAAAACCCCCAAAGGGCAACCAAATTAAGAAATATTAATTTTTTTTTAAGTAAAACTTTGTAGCAATACTGTTTGATCGATAATTTTGCATACATGTGCAATTAAAGAAGTTGACAAGATGACTCAACAGGTTCATGTTCGTCCATGTACTTTATAATAGATTATTATAGGGTCTATGGTTTGTCATCGTTAGGTAATTTTATCTTTTTTATCAGCATTAGTTTATTCAGTTTTTGTTTTTTGTTAATAGTTGGAATGCTGAACACAACAGACAGATAAGAGAAAAGATTATGGACCAATTAAGATTAAAGTTTGACGACAAATATTCAGAAAATGAGTATCAATGTAAGTAAAAATTTAATTATCAGTTACTGCTTTGCTTATTGTTGACAATTATACCTGTAACTCAAGAAGTGAACCATATGGTTATTGCTTTGTGGTTTTCATTGATGTTCCAATAGTTGATTCCTATCGGGAACACTTTATTCATATTAATTATTCGTTATTGATTCGTTTAATCTTCACTTTGAGTCACAGTACTGTTGTATTTCTTTGAAATTACATGTATCCCTATGGCAAACTAACACAACCTTGACTGTTTCATGCAAATCCTGTCTTCTATT